GGCGGCGTTGACTCGCCTGCTTCTGCTTTCTTTTCTCCTTATAGATGGTCACGCTCTACAGATGCGTATGCATCTGCATCTGCGTCTGCGTCTGGATCAATGTTTCTGCCTCGGGTCGTATATGTTCTGAGCTCGTTTGCCCTGCTTCTCCCAGTTGTAAGTCGTACAGGAACAAAAGCTCAAGGTCGTTGAGATACGGATGACAGCTGGGAAGTCAAGTTGATCGTGACCAAACAAATTTGGGATAAGCACTGTCCAAAGCTATAACCGTTAAAACCAAGTTAGGTTGTGCTTCAACCCACTCGGTCAAAGTCTAATAAGGCAACGCGGTTGTTTCTGTCGCCTTGCGTACGTGCAGAGCGTATGCATGAGACCACAAGTGACAGTGCAGTTGATGCAAATGAGATGTGATGCCTCGGGTTACACAGCGATAGAAGCTGGGCCAACGTCATGTAAGGTAGGTATGTAGTAAGGCAAGAGCAGGGTACTGTATGTGTCGAGCTGCGCTTCTTTCGACATGGAAGAGCTGTAGGATTGACAACGGCGGGKGGKGTATGGGRGGGGKGTGCTGGACGAGATGTTGTAAGGAGTTTATGTTGTAAGACTGGACTGGCAACAATGTCTGTCTTCATTGACTCGACCTGTTTGTCTCTCTATCAGAGTAGCATCACCACGATGGTTTGCTTGCAGAGATGAATGCAAGTGTAATAATAAGTCGAGTCCGACGTTAGGAAAGCAAATGAACAGATGATATGACGAAGCTCGTAACCCCTTTCCCTTAACCCTCTTGTTACGAAAGTGCCGCTGTTGGCATGATTCCTGTTGGCAGATATCTCCACCGCAACAAGACCATCTACAACTAGAGTAAGGGCAAGCAAGCGGATTGGATAGCAAGTGAGCTGGAGTCTACCGGCAAGAAGCAAAGAGAAACAAAACCCCGCGAGAAGCACAGGTTTAAGACGGACTGTCCAGGGTCTTTTGTTCGCCAGCGGCGGTGCAGATTGAAGTGGGTGCTCGCCCACCCGTCTAACGTACAAGCCGGAGCCTTTGGTGTCGCCTAGAAAAGTCGACGATCCAATTTGATCTGGGATGGTGACGCACAGGTTTTTAGGACCCCTCCACCCATGGGGCCGGACCCGGACTAGAGTGAGCGCCAATGCCAGTCATCGTCTCTGGCAGCAACCATGGCGAACAAGCACCGAGGCGGCTCTGGCGAATCACAACTCACCGTCACACGACACCCAAGCTATTGATCCAGCCCCTTTGGTCTTTTTAGGACGCTTCCCTTGCGCACCGCCTGCAGGCTACATCTGCGCCTGCATCTGCACCTGCACCTGATGAGATACGGTCTTGGGGTCACTTCACTGTTCGTGACGCCGTCTAAGGTTAGTTCATGAGCTGGGGCTGCGATGACTGTCGATTAAACGCCGAGGCTTCGTGGGGTATTGATGCCTTTTAAGTTGAGGCCCGCTGGCATCAATGCATTGCAGAGCACGAGGAACAATAGAGTGAGTGGACTTTTAAACCCTGGATGCTTCAAGGCCTGATTAACAACGGTCAAGGCTCAATAGCAGCCAAACAAGGCACGCACGTCCAATTCGATTGTCCATTTTAGTCAAAGTGGCATCGTGCCCTCTGGCAATTTTCCTTGCCCCAGCCGTACGAGGCCACGATGTGTGTCCACGGTTCAGGCCCTGGTCCTGGTCCCTTGCACCCTGGCGCTTCGCTATCAAAAGGCACTGTGGAACAACCTGGATTTCTATTTCCATTCGCGCAGAACAACGAAACAGAATGACAACAGTGCTGACAACGGCTGCCGACAGCGCAGGAGATGGAGAATATCGGCAGCGTGGCACGCCTATAGATGTCGCTGAGCCGCCGCCACGGATGACTCAAACCGCGCTGTTCAGGCCTCCGTCGTCGCAACTGGCTGATGGCCCATCGACGACTTTGGGGCTCAAGCACACACGCGCTCATCCAGTCTATCGGTCTCGCCGGCCGATGATGTCACTCGACCTGGCGGTGATGCATTCTTACCCTGATTGTGCTCTGTCGTTGGCGGTTGGGAAATTTCAACGAGACACTGCTGGTGACGATCACGGGACCGTGTGCATGCAAAATGATTGCATTCCTTCTCCCAGTTCTGTTTCTGTTCGGGCGTACCACGAATAAGCGTCGCTGAAGACAATGCCGGGCTACTGGGATCATCAGCGTGGAGTAGCTAGCGCATGCCCTAAGCAGATCGTCCAACGTTTCTACTCTGTACCCACGCTGTTAGTAAACTCGCACGTGGAGATCCAAATCGAATTGTTTGAGCTTTGATCCTATCGATGGAGCATTTTGAGATAAATCTGGGCTAGCACGAGCAAGTAGGCAAACAAGGCAACAGACTAAGCTTGCACCTGTGAGTCCGCTAATCACGAATACTTCGACCACTGCATTCGTCTTTACTTGCGGGGAGGGTTCTCGTTTAGTATGCAGTTGTTCATGGTTACATGTGTGTAACAGCCTGTTGAACCTGTTTGCGACTGATGAAGAGAGGGAGACAGATTCGGAGAATATCGAATGTGGAGGCTGGGGTTACACAAAGCCTCAGCTTGTGAAACCCCAGCGATGAATTCCGACCAAGGTACAACACCAAAGAGGTGCCCTTTTGAGCTGAGTTGACATGAAAGCAACCAGTATGTATCCTGGTCGGCTGTCAGGTGGACAAGATTCGTAGTCTTACCAAACTGGTCCCTTGCATGACAGTGAGTCGTCCTGGTCCTTTGTTTCTGGCTGTGACGATGTAAGGCGTAGAAAAATTCTAGATCATGAGGCGGTATTAGCAGGATACCACAGTAATTACTCTATAATAAAGCATTCACGATAGTAGTAGTAGTAGTAGTAGAAGAAGGAGAAGAAGAAGAAATCGATTGCTTGAAATGAATCTTAGGGCAATCCGCCTGCGAATAAGGGTAGTCTGTTATTGAGAGACACGCATCAAGTGAGGTACCAAATTCTTTGACCAAAAATGCCCATGTAAGTCTGAGACAAATTTCCATATCTGGCTCCAAGAGTCTCTTGGTTTGCGAGCATCGCATCGTGGGAAAGCTTTGCAGCGTATCACACATGAGCAGATAACACTTGGAAGCCCATCTCCATAGCATGGCTTCTGCTAATCTCTGCCGGCACTCAATCACATGTTTGCACTTCCGTCCCTACCCGGCCTTATCACCCTTTTCACTCCCGGTCACCCTTTCGGGGCTGGCCGTTGGAAATGCTTGCAAAGAATAAGTTGATGCTTTGCTTATAAGGCAACCTTTCCAAGAGTGTGTAGATCAATGAGCAATCCAAGGGGAAGTGTTTTTTCGATCTTAAATCCCTTCCTCTAAAGCCTCTGACGGCGGGTATTCATACGTAGAGTTGGGTACCAAGTTGTCTTTCTTAATGAGGGGGAGGGGTCGGCATTAAGGCCAGTATCTATCCGGTGGGTTCGGAGGACTCCGGGAAGAGCCGCTGGTCCGTGTTTTCGTGAAAACAGAATTAACATGTAGCAGGCGAACGTTTTGGGTGATCCTCAAAGGCACAGCATTACTACAAGGAGTCGACTTTTGTTCGTCCAAGGGTCTTCGGTCAGCAAGATGCTTGTTTCCCCAGAAAGTTAGGATGAACATCGAACCACCTGATGCAGAGGTCGTCCCACAAGGCATCTTTCCCAGAGCGCAGGATATGATCATCTGATTGTGACGACGCCTTTTGGGTGAAGACAAATTTTGTCTGTTGCGTGCTCGCATGAAAAGCATGGGGTACACAGCGCACCAGGAATTATACAAAGTTGGCACATCTGCGCGTTTCTTCATGATGGCAGCACACAAATCGTCCCCCGACAGATCAATTGATGCACCCCCTCACATTGCATTGAAACTACCACCTAGCCTCACGCTGCTTTTCGCTTTATATTGTTTTATATGCCGCTGCATTAATTATCATTTCAACTATAACCTCGGAAGTCACGCAGCGTCTTCGGAAAACTGTGGATCTGGTATTGATATTCCTTGTTTCCCCTCCGGACTCTGTTCTCCCTCCGTACGGGGATACGGACGAATCTTTTGGATCGTAGCTGAAGCAGCTTGGACCATCTGAAACTCGACCTACAGTAGTCGCACACTCTGCTGCATTAACAACTCACAATGCAATAGACTCCATATTATCAAACCAACCTACACCGAATTTTGCATCTCACCGCTAGAGTATTTTTACTACCCCGGCCACCTACAAATATCCATCACAAACTACCTGATATTGTACATTTTGCGACCTGACCTGACGTGTTCTTCTCCGTACAACGGTTAGAAATACCGGGTCAGAACCGTCTCTTACTCCCGCAGCCGATTAACGAGCCAACCAGATTGCATTTAATCAATATCGGGTTGCCAACCGTTTCGCTTCGCTTCAGCTCCTCTAGGCCCAGATCGAGGGCGTCTCAGCATTGGGTTTTATCAGTAGTTTCGCTGCCATTACCCACTAAATTCCTGCCTTGGACACCAGTCAAAATTGAAGCCTTTGAGCCCTTAGAAGAAAAAAAATTGCTGCAGTGCAGCTCCGAGCTCCCCACTTCGGACATCCTCTCCCAATCATCCTGAAGCTGTTTGCCCGGGGAATCCTGTAGCGTCATCCCCACGATCCGCACTCCTGGGAAATCCTATCCTGTCCAGCCGTCTCAATTCCTTTTCGCTATTTCACCAGATTCCTTCTATACCTCACGTCACTGCTGCCGCCCTGGGTGCTGTCGACATAGTGCACTTCTTCCTTGAGCATTTCTGGCAACTGATTACGCCGACCGACGAGGCCCGAAGCTACCTATCCCACACTCGCTCATTGTTTTCGCCTCCCAGTCCCCATCACGCACGCGCCGCAGTCCCTTCTTCCCGCCGACCTCGAGCTTTCGTCACAGCTGCCGATTTACCGGCACCTCAGTACTTCCTTCATGATCACGGGAAGGTGATTGCCATTTCAACATGGCCTTCAACTTCAACTGGTCGCCGCTAACCGCGGATGCCGACTTCTACCGTCGTGCGCGCGACCTTTTAACCAAGGCTCTAAACAAGAGTCCAAAGCCGCCTATTATTGTCGATGATATTCTTGTCAGCGAATTCAACCTTGGGACCGTACCCCCTGATCTTGAAATATTGGAAATTGGTGATCTTGCGGAGGATAGGTTCCGGGGCATCTTCAAAATGACATATTCTGGTGATGCGTTCCTGACCCTCAAGACAAGAGTTCAAGTAAGTGATCATTTTACTTTCATCTTGGAAGAATCTAGTCATTCTCTACGGCTCAATTCTTTCCTGAGCGCTGTGGACAACTGCCGAAGCTATACTCCAACCATTGGACGTTTTCCCCTAACACGCCAATTGTCGAGCTTGACGCGGATCGCCATCCTTTGACCTTGCACACAATAACAACCGCTCACTATCCCTTCCAAGTCTCAACCTACACATGGCTTTATTGCATTGTCGATGCAACCTTCTTTGATTGCGACAATGCGCATTAAAACCCTCCCTCCCCCTGCCAAATCCCTTGGTCTGAGCGCCCTACCAATGATTTCATCATTGCAATCCCGTAACACTAACATCACAACCTTAGGCAAATCCTTTGAATACGTATCTCTACTCTAAACCGACTTTCACATCTCCTCAACCGTTGGCCGCCGCTTCTGGCCTAACCATTCCACTCTCGATCACATTGTCTGATTTCAAGCTTTCTGCTTTTATTATACTGGTATTCTCAAAACAAAAAGGGCTGACCCTCGTCTTCCGAAATGACCCGCTCGAATCCCTCAAGGTATCCTCTACCTTCGACTCGATACAGTTCGTTCGTGATTACTTGCAGAGAACAATTGAGCAACAACTACGCAACTTGATGATGGATGAATTACCGGCAATTATTCACCGACTGTCTCTTCAATTGTGGTGTCCAGATCAGGCCAACAAGGGTACCGAAACACCAGCTGAGAAAGAAGACGAAGCTAGTGTTGACCCTCTAGCCAGCCCTCCCTTGGATCCCGTGGATGCCAATGGCAATCTTCTCGACCCCAATGCTATTTCTGAGCTCACATTGAATGGAAGTGGAGAAGTCCAATCACTGTTTTCTCAAAAGAATTTGTTGCGTCTTGCCGCCTTGACCGATTCGCATCGTACCTTATCACTCTTCACTCCTGGTATTCGAGATGTCGTCTTCCGTGCTTGGACAGGTTATGGGGAACGATCGGAATCGTCTACGCCCCTGCTTTCGACACCCACTCTCACCAAGACCATGTCATTCCACGCAGGAAATTCGACAACATACACTTTTTCAGATACAGCGAGCAACGCACACGGCCACCTCCCATCTCGCCCTTCACTCATTAGTATGAATTCGGCAACGAATGGGAGATCGCTTGGGGCGGGTCGATCACGGACAGGGCGCAAGAAGAAGACACGCGTGGTGAATTTGAGACGTACCAAATCAGAAGTTAACACCCCAGAGACTGGCAGTGAAGCGTCAGATACGGCATCTGTGGACGTCCCTCTATCTGAGCCCACGATTGAGGAATCGATTCCTGAGGAGACTGAGTCGTCTATCATTGCCGAGGCATCCACGCCGAATAAAGTTCGCTTTAGAAGCGCGGGTGAGGCAGGACGTCCCTTAGTCATGGCCACTCTTGAGGAAGCTCGAAGGTTGGGCTCCCCGCTCAAGAACGCCGTTCAAACTTCAGAACCCCAGGACTATCCATCGATCGCTTCTATCACTTCTGAACTGAAGTCTGAGAAGAGCAAATCTCCTGGATTGGAAAACCAAAGCATTAGCTCAGAGACTTCTTCTGTCATCCTTGAACAAGCTTGGATTATGAAGATGGCTGGCGAAATTGCCAAGCGAGTTTATGACGAGAAGAACAGGCAACGTAGCCCTTGGGATGAGCGTGAGGACGCACCACCACCAGCATACGAAGCTGCTACTCAGTAGCGGAAAAGCCACACATATTGGCACATACAACTTAGTACTCTCGTTACCATTCTATTTGTTCATTCATTTTAGGGCAGGCGCTGGAGTTTGGAACCTTCAGGTTGAGGAAACGGCCTTGAGGAAGCAATTCTTTATGTTTTTTGTGGCGTTGGAAGAGATGGGGCGAAGGGTAAAATAGGGTGTGCCTGGTCATGAGTTCTGGCCGGACAGGTTTCAGAAGGGTGGTACTGTTATTCGTCCTCTTTCTATGCCACGACACAGCTGTCTGTTTGGACTGGTCAATGGCCTCAGTGGGGTTAACTCATGGCGATGTCAGAGTCTTAACAATGTTATTCACAAAAGCATAGGCGAGATGGGCGGGGTTTGGACGGTCAGAGAGATCGTTGGGGTATCTAGAAGATATCATGGCATTAGGACTGAGGAACGAGGCTAGTTTCGGTTTTATATAACCGCGTGGTACTCGCAAAACAACTCCAATTCACGTTAAACAGATTATGACTTCTTGATGATTTGATTGAACTAGAATGTGCCATAGAAGATGTGCTTACAATCAAATAGGTATCAATACGCTTCGTTGCGCAAAGAGTTGTCTTATCTGAGCACCATCCTCCCTATTATACTTTCTTAGCTTGATCTTCAGACATGGCTACACCGCGCTCTTGAGCGCACTCGGGCGAGCCTAATGCAGTTCGGTTGAGGCCCAGGAAGAGCTGACTGCTTCACATATGATGTGGCATCTCATGGACAGGCTTGCATGGTGGCCAGCCTCGCCCCGAACCTACACATAGTTTCTTGGTACCCAGGTGTCTGGCGTAAATATGGTACTTGAAGCCTCGTCTTAGCTGTACTGTTCGCTTTCGCTCTGCTTGCGAGACTTGATCCTCTTCCGTCTTGATTCATTGAGCGTGACTCGGCCATCATGCTATGACTTGGCTGCAGCAGCAGCAGCCTGATTCTCGCCCTTTAATTTCGCAAGTAGTTCTTCTTTGGCTTTGAGCTCAGCAAGTATCCTTTTGGCCATGTCCTCAGCTTGAGTCTGTGCACCTGCTAACTTGCGTATCTCGGCTGCTTCAGTTTCTAGACTGAAAGGCTGCCCCGGTCGGTTGTGCGCTGGTATCATGGCCGAATGCTCCCAAACCTCGTTGCTGTCAGTGGGGAGAGGCGGCGGTGCGCGCGTCTTCCCTTTGCCCTTACCACCACTCGGCTTCCATCCCTTAGGTACGGCGCCTTGGGTGAGGAGGTTATAGAAGACTTCGTAGGGTTCGTTGAAGAGCTGTTCTTCGTAGCTCCATGCGCGGATCTCGCCATTCGAGGCGATCATAGCTTGCTTCTCTTCTTCGTTCCGGCCGTAGGGATGTAGACGCAGATAATGGTATAGTGTCTGAGGCTTTTCCCCCGAGTCGTTGACATAGTAGAGTTTGATCGTTATGTCAAACTCACCCCAGCCTGTCTCTTCGACTACAAAGGGTTTTCCGGGTTCGCCTTCAACCACTGTTTTCCATTAGCATCAGCATGTGCAAGCAAGGAAGGTTATTTCCTACTTCGTACATAATTAGGGATAGACTCATGAAGTTTGAATTGCACGCGACGCAGCCAGTAGGTAATATCGGTATCGTCAAGACCTTTGACGAAAACCTGCCATGAGTGCGTATGGGTGTCAGGGACACCTGCTGGTCGCGGGTTCGTGTCGGAGAAAGGCTTCGCTGTGCTCCCAACGATAAAAGGCCGACGGACTTGCGTGAGCTTAACACGCTTCCCAAGTTGATTTTGGGGCGCCATGTTATTTCTATACGGTCTAAGCTATTTATGCCGAGATTTTTGTTACCGCGAGAGTATTTTGATGTTGAGAATATCACCAGAACTTACCCAAGGTACCGAGGCGAGGTTTCACAAAGAGTGGCAAAGTGTCAGCCTCGTAAGACTTGATTAACTCACGCCGCAGTGGCGTGACCAATAATCGCAATGCAGCCACCTCAGGTCTCCAGCCTTGCGATTTCGATGATGATTTCATTGATTCCACCTTACCATCGATATCTGCATGGCAGGCTGCCAGTAATTGAATTGGAAATTCGATTAGTGCACCACAAAAACGCCCTCCTCTGTTTTTTCCTATTTACTGAATTCGCAGCTTTCCGTCCTTCATACCTCGATCTAATAATCACATTCCACTATAGCTCTGAAGAGCTTTGACATCACACGACTTTTACACGAGCATCACGATGTCGGCTTCAAAGAAACTTATTGTTTGCGGAGGGACCGGTTTTTTGGGCTCTCGTATCTGCAAATATGCTGTTGCTCGAGGATGGGATGTAACCTCCATCAGGTATAACCCACATCTATCATAATGTCAAGAGACGAACTCATCTTTGTTGTACAGCCGTTCTGGTGACCCCCGGTGGGACACTATCAGCGCCTCGGCTACACCTCCGTCTTGGGCACATAAAGTGAGCTGGGAGCGTGGTGATATTCTTCGTCCGGCTACGTATGCTCCATTACTCAATGGCGCTGACTTCGTGGTGCACAGCATGGGCATCCTCCTGGAGGCCGATTACAAGGGCGCCATCTCAGGCAAGGAGTCCCCCATTGCTGGTCTTCAGAAAGCTTTTGCTCCCGTCCGTGACCGAGGTGTGGACCCTTTGGCTAAAGGACAAGGAGAGGACATCAAGCCTCCAAACCCCAAGGATCAATTCACATATGAGATTATGAACCGCGACAGTGCAGTCACATTGGCTAAGCACGCGGTTGCTGCTAAAGTGGGTGCCTTCTGCTACATCTCTGCTGCAGCAGGTGCTCCTGTTCTCCCTCAACGATATATATCGACCAAGCGAGAGGCCGAGATCACCATTGCCAGCAAGTTCCCAGAGCTCAGAGGTCTTTTCATTCGCCCTTCTTTCATGTTTGATAGCTCACGCCCGGTGACAATGCCTCTGGCTGCAATGGTTGGCCTTGGCACAGCCTTCAACGGTCTTACAGGCAACTACTTCAAGACTTTCATTGGTGCGGCAGGAGTCAAGCCTTTGAAGGTTGAGACTGTGGCGGAGGCAGTGGTTGAGGCCCTGGGCGATGAGACCATCAAGGGTGCCATCGACGTGCCAGAAATTGAGGAGTTGGCAAGCAAAGCCTGGAGAAAAGCCATGCTGTAGGATATTGCGTGGTATTGTATTAAAAGCAAAGGCGCTAAACCGTATGATAATCGACTGTACCAAAACCCAGCTTAATATCTTGTTTGTTTCAAATCATTGTTCCTCGTTCAAAGCTATCCCTGATTTCTGCGGTATACTTGTTGTAGAACCGCGAGAGCTTCTGGTTGAACTGCTTATTCTTTTCGTTGATGTATGTCACATCGCCATCGTCCCCATTCTGTGCCATCCTCTCCTTTCTCTTCTTCAGTCTTTGTTCTTCTGCTCTCTGCAGGTCTGCCACCAAGCGGTCGACTGCTGCCTTGTCTGGCTTATTTTCAGCAAAGGTCGTAGAGTCGGCGGTAGAGTAGAAGGAGCCATCCTTATCCACCGCAATGAGCTCGCCATCCTCGGTCTCAACAATGTCTAGTCCGCCCGACGCCGCTGCCTTCTCAATGAGAGCCTTCTTATCTTTCTCATATTGCTCCATATTCATATCGATGTTCTTGAGCTGTCGCTTATATATCTTGTTCGCTTCTTGTGTATGATCGGCAAAAGCGTTGTTGTCGCGACGAGTCGTCTTCTTCTTGAGGCGTTTGTCCCACTTCTCGCTCTCATCGACAGTCCAGTCCCATGCGCGCTTTCGCTCGAAATCCCCGCCCGCTTCCTCCACGTCTGCCTTGAGTAGTTTGTGAGATGCGATCGCATGTTTCCGGTGTAGGGCAGTAAGTTGGCTGGGATCTGTGGCTAGCCTTTGTGATTCAAGTGTCGCCTCTTTCAGGTTTTTCTCCGACGAAGTCTTTGCTCGCGCTTGAAGGGCCTTGAACCGAGCCATGCGATCTTGGGCTTTGGACATATTGTCAATCTGTTGCGCCTCATCCTTCTTTTCAGTGGGAGAGGGAGCCATTGGTATAATTTGCGTCGAGACTGGGTATAACTGATGCCAGGGTTGGCAGAAGAGTACCTAGCCTTTCAGGTTGATTGAAGAAAGAAGGTCGACACAGCTGTGTGAAGGGGCGGTATTAATACTGCTTGATCAAGGTAGAAATTGCGCCAGGAGGCAGATAAACCTTCTCTGATTTTGACTTCTGGTGTACTGCCTTGCTATCGGGACCTGACTGTTTAAGTCTTTGTTATAAAGTTAAAAGCTCGATGGCCTTGTACAAGGTTAACGGCAAGGGGGTGGGGGAAGTTGATAGGTCTTGTCTGATTTTGACCAGTGTTGTGTCAAAGAGTATGTCCGTAGAAGCCTTGTTGTTTGTATTGTTTAAAAGTTGAAACCCAGTTTAGGTCACTTGATTTCGCTCTTCGTATCCTCATACGTCAGGCTAATGGGTCACGTGCTTCACATCACTTTTAATTAAGTAGGTAGGTAGGTAGGTACCCCTCGGGGAGCAAGGAAACATAAGACATTAGAAAAAGATGGTAAAATGAACTTAATAAAGACTTCTTCAACTTAGATTAGATTGTTCAAGTCTTTTTATCATTCAGGACCGAGGTCCCGAGTTTACTTCCTCCACAAGTTCCCCTAGTCAGCCTGGCACCAAAATAAAGCCCGGGCCGTTAACAGCAGGGGTCCTTCTCACTTTGCGGGGGACGTAGGATTACGTCGCAGGGACATTGAAAACATCGCCCTTCTTGCTGAAGAAATAAATCGCCATCTCTCTCTCTTGCACCAATCTTCATCTCAAATCGCGCACAGCGGCTCACAATCTTTCCGCCGTCGATAACGAGCTAAGGTATTTTGGTACCCATCTTAGTCGCTACCTTATCAAAATGCAACGCCGAGCAGCTTCGACCGCGCTTGATGCTGGGAAGACAAAGAGCAAAATGTTTTTGAAAAAGGAAGCGAGGTGGGGAGAGACATACTATATTGTTAATAGGTGGCCCGAAACTCCCAAGCTACCCGAAGAACACGAATACTTTCGGATCAACGACCTCCTCCTAGAACTAGACGATATGTTCAGCAAACACGTCCGACCAACCTCAGAAGAGGACGAAGAGCGTGCACTCAGGAGATGGTCTCGAGATAGTAAGCGAGATGATGTTCGATGGAAGCTTCACAGAATGGAAACTTCTCTCACCTGGTCACGAATAAAAGCTTTTGAAATACACTCGGAACCATCTAGCTCTTGGCGACTCGGAAGCCATGACATTTTCTCTGCAGCTCTCCAACCCCCAACACCAGCTCCACTGATCGACTCCTCAAAGAAACAAAAAGGACGTCCCAATAATGCGATTGCGGAGCGAGAGCCTAAAAAACTCTACCTCGTCAGCTCAAATAACGGCATTCCGAAACAGGCCTTGGAGGACGACTCATCACTCTTGCGCTGGCTTCAATCGCGGACGCAACTGTCATGGTCTGGGCAATACCGAGCCATCTCTCCGTCTCATTCAGCTCAGCTGTCGGCAGCTCTGAGGAAGCAAGACTCACTCACTAACCTCCGTAGGCTAGTATCACAATATTTGTCAGTTGAAACCAGCGCCATCTCATCTCACAAACTCAAAAGCACGGGCCAAGAAAACCTGACAGGGGATTTATCTTCAGATCTTCGCATTACATGTGAGAACTTCTTGAAGCAAGACACTCTACAGAATAAGCATGATGTTTTGGTGTTCCTCGGTAATCTTGGTCAACGATTGACAGCTAGGGGGGATCACTTGGGAGGCCCTTTATGTGGGCTTGGCTTGAGACTCTCAGCAGAAATCTGCAAGCCCGCAGCCTCCAAGAGATACTTTCAAATTGGACTTCAAACTGGTTACTGGACCGGTAGTCCTCAAGGGTCAATGGACATGCTCCACTGCCTCGAAATCTTCCAATGCCACTTCAACAGTGTTTCGCAACCCGACGGCCTTGACCTGTTGGGGCGGCAGGAACTCCTAGAGTTATTACTTGGTCGCAGCAGGACTCACAACCATTCCGCTCTGTCTCTTATCAATGCTTGCCTACATGGACGTAACCGGGAGGCAGCATTCGAGGCTTATCGAGCCTCCATCATCCTGATTGGTCATATGGGTATGATCGAGTGGCTTAATCAAGAACAACGGACATCAGCAGCAATAATTCAGAGACTAGCCCGCCGCAGCGATTCGAACGATAAGAAAAGTCAGCTAGAGGGAATCCTAAGCGAAGCTTTTAAGTCTGCAAAGAGGATAGCCGACAGTTCAGTTGTGGCACAGAGCCATGATGCAGTTCTAACAGATCCCAGCCAGGCTGGCAATGTGTGCGAAGAAAAAGACAGGAATCAGTATTGCCCACCTTAGAGGCACTTGCATATATTATTTGCCTTACTACCTAGGTACCTACACGGTAAATTAAACCCCTGAGGAGGTACAACTGACAGCTGCATGAAAACTTTATTTAAATTGTGTGATGATCTAATATGAGTGATTATGAAGAAAGGCATAGAATTTGCTCTTGGCCTTTTTATTCTCTGATCTAAAACTCTCTATCACTTTCCGCAAGAAACGGTTGGATGGCAAAATCCGTGTAGGACCGGAAGTCCCACTTGGACAACGGCTTGTGCCTCATCCTGAAAGATGGTTCCCGGTGAGTGGAAGCGTGAGACGAGGCAAACCAATAGGGGATCACCAGTGGAACCGCGAATTGACTAGGTACCGAGCTGACGGACTCCTTTCCTCCATTCTACAGTACCTACTATATGTATTAGTATTGTTGTAGTTTGTAGGTGTCTACCTTAGTACCAAGGTACATATGTATGCACATTATCAGCCAAGATTGGCCCCTCAGAAATAGGACTCATCTTAAGTCTGGTCATCCAGATCATTGGGATGTCCTTTATAATCCGTATTGAGTACGGAGGATATTCGAAACAAAGTGACGACCTCTGGCAAAATGGGTAGTGGGTGCCACCCCGTTCAGCCCTAGGGACCCTCCTTTACTTGTGTTCCGAGTCTGCATCTGAGCTGAAATGCAAGCCCGTAGCACAACTGGATATTCCTATCGTTTTGACTTCTCTAGCTGCATCCAGCTCCTTGGTTGGCGCGAATCATGATCCGCGCTGGCTGTGCTAGCAACGCCCGCCCCTACCACCAGCAGGTTGGGCGTATCCGTCGTCTCACCACCAAAGACCAGCTGGCCAGCAGGAACATCAGAGTTCTGTGTTCTGAATGGTGTCCGCGAACCTTGCTCCCGTATGGATAGCCCACTGCTTAGGCTGTCCTTGACGCTGTGGATGCGTTTGAGGCGTCGACCTGAAAAGTCTAGACCTCGCAACAAGGTCAGCCCCGGATATCATCTCAGCCACCCTCATCTGCCGTTACGCTTATTTGGCAGTGGAAAGAAAAACACGAGATTGGTTTCGCTGCCCTGTACAGCCCTCACCAGCCCATGTATTTCTGGCCCCCATGGATCCGGCCACGCCCCTTGCTCATGATCAACAAGTGTTGTCTGCCTTAGACTGCTCGGAGCAGGCGAAACGAGACGAGACTTAGCAGTTAGCACTGGGGCTGCCGACTTTTCCTTCTTCTTCTTCTTCTTCTTCTTCTTCATCACATTCGCGATTGCTCTACTTCTTGACGACGATTGCCCAGGTCCTGATACCTCTTCGTTCCTCGCGGTTCGTGATCAACCAACAGGCCGGGAGAGAGTGAGTAAATGTAGCATCAAGGTGGCAGCCATGATGTGGATCTCAATCTCTCCAGCCAGCCAAATTCGCCAGGGCTTGGTCCTTCTATTCTTATCGTTCTTTTGCGTCAACCTCACAGTGCAGCAACGAGATCCCATATCGAATTTCTGTCGAAGATGGGGTCATCAGAGTGCTGTGGTTGACGACAAACTTTACATTGGTGGAGGGTTGGTTACCTATGATGGTAGTTCTGGAACACCACAAAACTTCTCCAGTATGCGAGCCCTACTCAATCTCTCACATTCGAGTGGCGAGATTTCGTCGGAATAATTTCCCCAGCTGCCTATTGACCAATACTCCTATAGACCCCTACTTTATTTACCATGATCTCAGCAACGTAGCGAGTTCAGGCATGCCCCAACCATACGCGAACCTGAGCAAGAACTCCACGGTTCCCGATGTTAGTGGTGGAATCTTTTGGCCTGATACTATCAACAAGAAGATTTATCTCTTTGGCGGCGAATTCAATGGTGTGGCCCCTTGGGACTTCGACCTTTATGCTTACGATATCATAAATGATGAGTGGGACAACATGGGGGTCTCCAGAACAGACGACGTTGTCGGGCTCAGCTATGGAGCTGGCTTGTCCATTCCGGATCGCGGAGAGGCCTACTACTATGGCGGATGGATGAACAATGCGACCGACGCGGATTGGGGTGACGCTCCTCAGATACCAACATCATACCTCCTGCGGTATGAGATGGACACGAACAGTTGGTCCAACGACACAGGACCTGACGATATTGGCCGCGCCGAGGGTGTGATGGTCCACATCCCTGCCGGAGATGGTGGTATGCTTGTTTACTTTGGCGGAATCAGAGCCGCCGAAGATGGTGGTTGGGAAGGTCAACCAATGGATCAGATTATTCTCTATGACGTTCTGAGCGGTAAAAGTTATTTCCAAAATGCAACGGGTGATATTCCAGAATCACGTCGACGATTTTGCGCTGGCGCTACGTGGACCAAGGACCAGTCTTCTTACAATATGTGAGTGTATTATTATCAACTTAAGTGCCATCATGTACTGACCATGCTCAGCTACTTATATGGGGGAGCTGGTGAAGAGCTGGGAAGTTCTGGATTTGATGACATTTATATCCTGACGCTCCCTACCTTCACATGGATCAAGATGTATCCCGAAGGAAACGGAACTGGGGATTACCCTCATCACAGCTTTACCTGCAACGTTGTGAACGAGGCACAGATGTTGATTCATGGTGGTTTCTTCCCCCTGACAAATGACTGCGATGTTCCGGAC